AATGCAGCCATTGTATAATAGCATGCTATTTAGTCTCAATGTGTTTGATTTCTTTGGATTGTTTTTATTGGAGTTGACTTCCAGTTTTATGCCCTAGTGATCTAAAAAGATGCTTTATATGAGCTCTATCTTCTTGAATTCGAAAAGACTTGACTATGTCTCAACATATGGTCTATCTTTGAAAATGTCCCATGTGCACTGGAGAATGTATATTCCATGGCTTTGTGGTGAAATGTTCTGAAGATGTCAATTATTTCCATTTGTTCTAGTGAGTCATTTAGAATTGATGTTTCTTTGCTGATTTTTGTTTAGAGAACTTGTCAAATAGTGATAGTGGGGTATTAAAGTCTCCTACCATGATTGTATTGCTGTCAACCTCTTCCTTGATATCCTCCTGGAGTTTTGTTTGTTTGTTTTTTAAATGTATTTGGGTACTCCTGTATTTGGTGCGTATATGTTTACCAAAGTTATTTCTTTGTTGTATTTCTCCCTTTAGTATTATAAAGTGGCCTTCCTTATTTCTTATTATGTCCTTCTCTTTAGGTTCTAATTTGTCAGATATAAATATTTCTACCCCAGTTCTTTTTTTTTTTTTTCATTTCCATTAGCCTGGTAAACCTTTTTCCATCCTTTCACCTTCAGTCTGTGTGCTTCTTTTTTTCTGAGGTGGGTTTCTTGTAGACAGCAGATATATGGGTCTTATTTTCTTATTAAATCCATTTCCATATGTCTTTTTAGGGGGCATTTAATCCATTTACATTTAAAGTTATTATTGATAGGTACTTATTTGTTATCATTTAAAAATATATTTTATTAATTTTTTACAGAGAGGAAGGTAGATAGAGAGTTAGAAACATCGATGAGAGAGTCATCGATTAGCTGCCTCTTGCACGCACCCTCCTGGGGATGTGCCCACAACCAAGGTACATGCCCTTGACCAGAATCAAACCTGGGACCTTTTTTAAAAAATATATATTTTATTGATTTTTTACAGAGAGGAATGGAGAGAGATAGAGAGCCAGAAATACCAATGAGAGAGAAACATCAACCACTTGCCTCCTGCACACCCCCCACCGGGGATGTGCCCTCAACCAATGTACTTGCCCTTGACTGGAATCGAACCTGGGACCCTTCAGTCCGCAGACTGACACTCTACCACTGAGCCAAACCGGTTTTGACTCATTTTTATCCTTTACCTCTGTGTTCCATCTTTGGTGGTTTTTTGTTTGTTTGTTGGTTTGTTTGTTTTATAACAGATCTTTAACATTACTTGCATTGCTGTTTTTATGGTAATAAATTCCCTTAGTCCTTTTTTGTCTGTGAAACTCCTGATTTCACCTTCCATTTTGATTGATAGCCTTGCTGAGTACAATATTGTAGGATTCATATCCTTCCTTTGCATGACTTTGCATATTTCATTCCATTTCCTTCTTCTGAATTCTTTTTCAGTCACATTGCATACTTCAATTTCACTAATTTCCTTTCTTGTTGACTTCTCATTTTTTTTTCTTCTGGGAGTGTATCATCTCCCTATTCTGACTGTCTCCAGAAGATTCAAACTTCGAGTTGCAGTGGGAGCTTCACACCACCCAAGTGTCACTGAAGTGCTCTGACACTAAAATGTGTGGCTACCATGGGTTGGTGGGAACCAGTCTCACCCAGGGTCAGTGTTACCAGCACTCAGTGTGATCTTGTGTGTGTACCTAGACTCATGGACACCGTCTGCACTGGATTGTTGGCATGTGCTGAAAATCAGAATCCCCTATCACATGCTAGGAGTCAGAGTTGCCCTGTGTCTGCACCAGGAATTGAATATCAGAGTCTTTGTTGCTGCGTGTTGCTGAGAATCAGGATCCCTATGTGCCTATGCACCAAGAATTGGAGATACTGGCTTAGTGGGAGTGTACGAGGAGTCAGGGATCCCAGTGCATGTGATAAGAAACAGAATCAAGTCAGTAGTGCTCAATGCTGCCTCCTGTCTGGAGAATATGGGTTCTGGTCAGCTTTGGGGACTGGGTTGCACAGTAGCACTATGTTGGCCTGAGGTCTTCTCCTGCGCTGACGAAAAGAGTCTTCCTTGTGTGATCACCAAGAATCAGACTCAGATGGCACTGCCACTCTGTGTGGGTCTCGGGTTTGGTCACAGGATTACGTTGCAGGGAGCAGATTCCCAGTGTCCGTGGGCATGCAGGCTCAAATTCCTATAGTGGCACTGCGACCTGTGTAGGGGCAGGTCTATCAGTTACTATGGTGTTGCCCAGGAGCCTGCAAGGAGGGAGGGGGATAGGCTCCATGACTCACAGAAATCTGTGGCTGGAATATCTGGATTCTTATTGTCTGTTGGTCTGCAATTGTGGTCACAGGTCTTTGTCCCTTGTGACTGCAGGGACTTGCTTTGCATCTGAGACCAGATTGGGTGGTGCTGAGGCCAGGATCCTAGTCTCAAGCAGCTCTATTTCTTAAGATTCCATGGTCTCTGTGCTCCCACTGGCCACCCAGAAGTGTACACGTTGTGTGCGGGTCTCCACCATCTAAGACTGCCCTGTTTGGCAGCTCCTTGAAAGACCTGCATAATTTAACTGTCCCTAGCTCATACACACACACATACACACACACACACACACACACACACACACACACACACACACACCATACACTCCTCTATTGCTCTCTCACTCTCTCACACTCTCTCCCTCCCTAACTTCCTGCTGGTCACCATCTTCCATCTCCTTTTAAATTATATAAAGTGTCTGGTCCCACAAAAGTTGGATGTATCCCCTGCCATCCATAGATTAAGGAATTATGCAATATAACTTAATATGTAGAAGTGAATGATATCCAAGAGAAATAAATGTAAAGAAAGGGTTGTAAAAGGCCAAAGTGTACACTAAGGCAGAAGAAGAAGCAATACCTGTCACATAAAGAATTGTCACTGAAGGAGGAGGAAACTGAAAGCACATTATCAAGGAAGTATAAAGAGAGATGGTTAGCCATGTTCAACATGAATGGGAGATCAGCAAAAATAAAAATGAGGAAATTGAATACATGAGTAGCCAGGACACCTACAAGGAAGTGGCAAGAACAGAAAGTTGGTTGTTGTATTTTTGCCTTTCTGGACAATAAAAATGGTAGTTGAATAAGTATAAATGGTAGCTAGAGTCCACAAACATTCAAGGAGATAACAGTACCAACAGAAAACTCTAATCTTCATGATTCTTTTAAGATAATATTCATCAATAAAGTAGGCTCACTGCCCAGGCAGGTGTGACTCAGTTGATTGAGCATTGTCACATGCTCTGAGAGATCACCAGTTAGGTTCAAGATAGGGCACAATCCCTGGTTTCTGGCTTGATCCCCAGTAGGGGACGTGCAGGAGGAAGCTGATCAGTTTCTCTTACATTGATCTTTCTCTCTCTCCCTCTCTTTTCCTCTCTCTCTAAAATCAATAACAACATATTTTAAAAATAAAATAATCTCACTGTAATATTGAGATCTATACTGAAGCTAAGTTAGATAGTACATATGTACTTTTCAAAATGGATCCTAAATGTGTTCCATGGTCAGGCAAAGACTTTGAGTGACCCTTGTTCCTCAAGCTCCAAATCCTAATATAATATTAGTATCCTAATCCTTTCAGTACTTGAATTTACATATTTCTGCCCCATATCTATGTCCCCTGACTGGAGATATGGACCAGTCAGAGAGTGCAGAAAGAGAAAAGAAGCCATAAGAATGACATTCAAAAGTAAAAGACTTTTAATTTAAAATTATACTAGGTAGCCCACAAAACTAGTAATTCATGTTTGAAAGTTCAGGCCAAGGAAACATCTATTTGAACCAGAATGTTCTAAATTGACCACCCTTGCAATTCTGAAGTTGATTGGTTTTAATTGAGCATATGTATTCATACTGACTTGCCCATTATTAGGAAGAGTGTGAATATTATTTTTTGACGGTGAATTGCAGCCTTACCAGAGAAACATGTTCAAATCTGTTGATATGTCTATTATAGAAGCTACTAGATGTCATTTTACAATATTTTCACACTAAATTTCTTTGAGATTAATTTCAAGATGGACTGATTTCATTATAATTCTCTAATTTCTTCAGTGTTTGTATTTTTAAAGGCATTTGACTTTTCTATTGATTGCATGTTCATAATTGTCATTATGACAAAATTTGCTACTTGAGGACAATGATTTTGAATGGATAATGTGACAGAATATAACAGGGACATAGAAAATAACTGCAAACTAAAATGACTAAACCAAAATAATATAACTAAATAACTAAATAAATAAAATAGAGTGACTAAACTAAGGAACTGGTTTGAGGTTTCTAAGAACTAAATAAAATTAATTCAGTAAAAAGCAGTAATTTGTTTTTACTAGCAAAGTTCTAGGTAGGAAATGATTAAAACATTTCAAATGATAAAGAAATATTTGTAATATTATTGATTTGCAATATTATTCTTTTTGAAAGATCAAGAGTTTATTAAGACATGCTTGATAATGTAAACATGTAAATGAAGATGTTCTAGCTACTTTATAATTAATTATGGTTAACATGGAAGCAATTCATAACACTTTTATAGATAGCATAAGCAATTTCCTTTTCTAATCTTTTTCTTCTAATAGTAAGCCTTGGCTTGACTTGAGTGTAATGTATTTCTACTTTAGTAAGCAGTATTTGATTCAACAAAGCCAGTTAAACACAATAACCTAGATACCTGGTGGCTACATCATTAGACTGGTAGAGGACATAAATCATATTGACTGCAGATTTTGTTTGGAAATTTATAAATTATTTGGACATAAATTTTTTCCAACTGTCAGCCACTTCTGCAAATAAAATTATAATTTCTGTAGTTAAGTGTTATTAAAATTGTGTTCAAAGCAACTATCTTTCAAATTTTTAACTGTTTTAGATTAATCTAATTGTACAACTTGTGGATCCCAAACTATATCCCAAATAAATGCATGTTAACATTTTGCCTTTAGCCAATAAGAAGAAAGAGAAAGAACGCCCAGAGATCTCTCTTCCTTCAGACTTTGAACATACGATTCATGTGGGGTTTGATGCAGTCACTGGGGAATTCACTGTAAGTAAGCTTATTTTGTTTTGTAATCCATGAAAAAATCTTTTATTATAATAGGATTTTATAATAAATCAAGAATTTCCATATGCCAAAATGTCACACTTGAAGTTTTTGATGAAAAAAATATTGGCAAAATGATTTTGTCCACCTTAACAAAAATGTTTCATGGCAGTATAGTCTTCAACTTGGTTGAAAATACTAATTTACCATTGCCTAGAATAGGTTAGACACTGCTTGATTAGGCCTGTTCTTCATGATTTGAAGTTAATCAGAGAATCATCAACTCAACTTGGACAGTGAAAAAAATCTTTCTGAATGATTCAGGCTTTATGTTGGAATTTCGATTAACCAGATCAGCTAACCACATACACTAACAACAAACAAACAACCCTGTAAAATTGACCTGCTTTTATTTTTAATTTCAAGAACATGGCTTATTATTAGGCTTAACAAGTATATTTTATAGACATTAAAAATAAATTCCATGGTTCAGGAAGGAATATTGATGGATATACATACTATGTATGCTTTGGTGGTTATATATACACAATAATAAATAGCAATAAGAATTCTCTAGAAAAACCCACATAGACATAGTGCTCAAAATAGCACAGGCAATGTGCTATTTTGTGCTATTAGATCAATGGCATTTTATAGTTAAGATCTGCCATGTTTTTTTAGATTGAAGAAGGAAAAGATGTGGCTAGAAATATGTCCCCAGGAAGATCAACTATCTTTTCCACACTAGTAAGGAACTCAGGCACAATGTGCACTCTGAGATTAGTAATTTTCAATGCATTCAAACAAAACATCTCTGATAGAATCATACAGTTGATTTATGGGTTCTTAAGCCAGAGATAAATTTAGATATTAAATAATTGAATCTCCTATTATATAACATGATGGTTAATGAGTAAACTATTGTGTGATTAAATGAAAGAAAAGAAGAGATGACAAGTTAATTTGGAGAAGCAGACCATATATTTGATTGATAGTCAAATTATACTATTTTTTTCTATTCTGGAAGTAAGCAATATGAGAATGAAATGGACTTTGGGTAAACATCTTGGACTTAACGATGTAAGCTAATTATTTCTATGTTCTCAGTAGCAAGAAGAAGAGAACATTAAAAAATACTGACATGGACAAATTTGAGATACTGGTAGGATTTAACCAATTTTACCACTGGAGTCAGAGATGTTATTCAAATGGCATTGTGTTTGAGCCCAGATTCTGTTCTCTACTATATGTAATAATATTCTCTCAGCTATACCTGGGAAATATAACATTGTCACCACTATGACTACCATCATCACCACCGAATAATATTTTTTATAATCTGAGCAAGTTAAGATTATTTTTTAAAAGTCATAGAATGACTATTTTATTACATATGTAACAGTAAAACACTTAAACTTTTAAGTTTTGTCTGATATCTCTTCCTTTTTTTATTTGATTAACTTTATTTTTCCAGTTTTTGACCTTTTCATGTTCAATGTGCATTCCCTCTGCTTAAATTTCTCTTATATTTTACTGTCATTTTATATTTTTCTTCCTTTTCATTTTCTGATGTAAAAGTTTCCTCCTCCACTATTCTCATTTGGCATTCTGTTTCCTTTCCATTTTTTCCCTAATTTTTTCCAACTTGCTTGAAATCTTATACAATCTATCTTTAGCTCTTTCTTGTTTCTTTATGGGTTCTCAATGGAAATGAAGGAAAGTGAATCATTATTATCTTGCTGACTGTAGTCAGCTAATTTCACTTTTCCATTATTTGGAACCCAAAGAACAACCATAGAGGGATAGAATGGGACATGTTGTGGACAATCTGTTTAATTGTAAAATACACTTTGATGCAACTGAACCAAACCAAACAAAAACCTGTCTCTTCCTCCCAAAAAAAACAATTTTAAATAAAGAAGTTGTTTGGATGCAGTCATTTGTTAGAAATCCATTTGAATATATTGATGACACAAGCTAAATTTGGAAATCTGATACATTTTATCTTGATCTTTTACAACTTGATCTTTTACATCTTGATCTTTTACAACTACTTGTCCACATATTATTTTTAAAGATGCCAAATTCTGCATCTTTTTTTTTACCACCTTAACCTATTATTTAAATTTACAAACTAAAATACAAAACGACAATAAACTTTTTTAAAAAAGTGTATTGGGCCCTGGTTAGGTAACTCAGTTGGTTAGAGCATCATCCCTATACATCAAGGTTGAGAGCTCCATCCCCCCTAAGGGTACATATAAGAATTAACCAATGAATACATAAAGTGGAACAAAAAATCCATCTCTCACTCAACCATTTTTTTAAATTATTTCATTGGCAGGAATTAAAATTGGGTCCTAATTCCACAGTACTACTAATTCATTGTGTGCATAGCTAATTTGATTATTGCAGTTGTTCACATTGAATTTTGAGCAATATAGTCCAGCTCTCTTACAAGGTATTGTTATTTAGAATATTTGGACACTAATTTGGTGTGTTGCTTGGTGATTAACCTATGGGTAATTGGCCCCTATAACTGTGTACACCTTTTGATATACTTGGACCCTGATATTAAAATCAAGTTGGGAGGTGAGATTTGGGGTATTGAATTATGACAAGTCCTTACCCTTTATATTGCCATTTTTGTCCCAAATACTTCAGAACTCCCCCTTCCAGACCTCTAGACCTGTGACGGTCGCTTCAAGTCAATCAGAGGGAAAAATGGTATGAGTGATATAAATTATAATTTCTTATGATAAGATAGATGCTTGGCCTGTTGTATCATGCTGCCATTCTCCTGGGCTATACTAGCCAATCCCCAGCTTGATATACATCTAGTTGTTATTGTATATATGGCCAGGCATTTATACATGCTTCTGCTTCTGATGCTCTCACATCCAGGTTTCCATTAGCTGTCTAACTTTTGGGATTTGTTCCTCAGTTTGGAGTAATGATATGGCTTTCTGATTATGTGCCTTTGTGGCATACATTCAAATTTGAGTGTCAGGTTTCATTGATTAACTGATTTATTTCAACTTAGAAAAGAAAATAGAAATGATGTCATGAGTGCACTCATGTGGTAAGTTATCTGAAGGATCTTCTGCAGTAGATAGTATTTTTCTCCCTGTGGTCTAGTGATCACAAGACTATTTATCACAAAAGTTTAGAAGTGCTGTGAGAATGTATAATAACTGCAAATATTTGAATGATTATGGCAACAACCATGTTAGTGATTATGTGCAATGCATACCTGGTTTTGTAACATTTAATAATTCCTTTGGCCATCACAGTATTAACCGAACACTATTAATTGCACTTAGAATCAGAACTGGGATCATGCATGGGCTCTTGAGTTCAAATTTTTGGCTTAAGGCTTTAGCATCAAATTGCGTGATGAATGCATGTAAAAATGTTGTTTCACTGTGCTTGTAGTAACCCCAATTGCTAGGAATCAAACCATATCCCAAATTAAACAGTTGAGTCAAAGCATGTTTCTGTAACATTGGACATATCTTTATTTTGAAAAAGTTACTACCTTATATCTGATCTTATTTTGTAGAAAGCAACACTTCAGAACTGTAGAATTAAAATGGAAATTATTCCTGTACGGTTTGAAACGAAATGTTTTCCCTTTCCCTGGCCTAAATGTCTAAGAAATTCAAATACAGAATCTGTCTGTGTAGGCAATCCTCCATCTAGTTTTCTCTAAGCCAGCCATGATTTTAGCTACAAAATACAGAATAATCACATCAATGAAAGTAAATGTTAAATTTAACATCACCTATAGCCATACTTTGAATTTTTGTCACATATACACTTCCAATGTGAAACTAAAAATGATTAATTAGAATTGGAAACTTAAATTTATAAGTTCATCTCATGGCCATTGGCTACCCGTGATGGATCACCAGTTACAAAAACAATTTACAAATTATTATTGAAACTGTTCATAATACTATCCTTCTTCCTTCCAAATTCATGTTTCTCCCTTTTAGTAACTTCTTCAGTCATTTAATTATAATTCTTATTAGTGTGTATTTATGAAGGAAGCATCTTGCCAAAAGTGAAATTATGCATCCAAACTTCGGAATATTGTTTTCTCTGTTTTCTTTTCATTTTTAATATGTTGTACTATACTCTGTCCTGCCCCTGATTAGGTAATACCTCCCTATTTTTATAACCACTTTAGATGGGATAACCCCCACCTTATTCAGACCCATTGGTTTCATCTCCTCCCACCTTCTAAGTTGTCCCACATTCTGTTTTAACTTTCTTTTCTTTCTTTATTTACGTCCATTACAGCCAGATCTCTATGGCTCACAGATGTGCCCAGGGAAGCTCCCAGAGGTGCGTCACAGGCCCAAAAGAAGCTTGCATCAAAGTGCTTCTTTGAGATGTCATAGCACTGCAGCAGCAGGTTCATGTGTGTGCAGTAGAGTTGTTGCTTGGCTTATCTCACTTTTTTGTTGTCATTCCCAAACTCTGGAGGCCCACGTCACACATTGTTTTGCCGAGACTTCATAGGACAAAACCACCTAAATTGTATCTAAATGCACTTCAGGAGTAGTGTATCTGTTTTTCACTCAAAATTTCTATTGGAAGTTGAATAATCATGAAATGGGGACATCTGTTGGCTGAGCAACTAGGAAAGAATACTGATTGTCTAATGCAAAACTAACCTCTCTATGTAATTTTTGCAATTCTCCATATTTAGATATCCAAATACTCCTTCCTCTCTGCTCTAAATGCTTCTGATTATTTCAAATTCTCACAAGGCTTTGGCATGGTTGTCATAGTCCCCAGGTTCTTCTATATGGCCAGTGAATGGAGTGGGAAGGAAGGAATGAAGGGAGGAGCCAATAAAGCTGCAGGGAAAATGCCCAAAGCAGCATTAATGTTACTCTTTAGTATCTCAATGGTTATTGCTCCCCCACAATTGTGTTGTTGTTTCTTCTTAATCACCCTTTCTATTAAAGATCTAGTCCTTCTAAATTATATTTTATGACTAAAAAGTATGAATTGACCAAGGGTGGGGTTTCCCTTTTATTCCAAAAGCTATTCTAATTACAACATGCCCAGAAGCAGCTTATGTAATTCAGAGTAAAATAAAATTTATTGATCTGCACATTACTATGCTGTGCACAAATTTAGAGAAGTCTTGCTATGTCTGCCCTGAGTCACCAGAAAAAAATAAGCTAAGCTGTAAACATCATTTCATGGATGAGCAGAATTAATATGGAGGTGATTTTCATGCACTTTTTTTTTCTATCACAGTCATACTCCCACCCACCCTTTTTACGTTGGATCCTAGTTTTAACTATGTGTTTTATTTAGAGAAGAGAATGATTGCATTATTAAGTTACTAACTTTAAATCTAGAGTGTAACTTCAGTTTTCCAAGTGAAATTCTACAGGTAGCATGGGCTTCTTGGTGAAGAACTTTACTGGACCAGAAAAATGTAACTGCTGAATGTTCTGATATGCCATTCTTTGCCTTTGGTTGTCAACAGGGAATTCCTGAACAATGGGCACGATTACTCCAAACCTCCAACATAACAAAACTGGAACAGAAGAAGAACCCACAAGCAGTTTTAGATGTTCTCAAATTCTATGATTCCAAGGAAACAGTCAATAACCAGAAATACATGAGCTTTACATCAGGAGGTAAGAGTAAATCTAGGATATCAAAAAGGTTAAAAAAATAAATTATATTCTCAGAGCCTCACAATTAAAAGAGAATACCTGTATGGTATTTGAAGTCAGTTCTAGTTCCTTCTCTGAATAACTTCCAAAAAAGTAAACCGAATGATGAGTTGGAAGTTGAAGTTGATGTTAATAGATTTATAGTGCTTGGATAATTTTAGAACTGAAATAAGGAAGTTGTTCAGTGAAGCAGTAATTGTCAGTTTGAATCAGCAATCACAATTATTATTTGGTTTCTTTACTGGCATGAAACTCAGTTATTCATAATCCTTGTGTTCATGAAGTAAGAAATGTATGGATCAAACCATGGTTTCTTGATTTTTTGTTTTGTTTTTTGATTTAGAATAATCTAATTGAATCATGATAATGTAGTACAAATGTTATGGCTGCCAGGTTATTTTTATCAGACTTTAAAATCAGACTTTTAAAGAAGAAATAATGGTTTGCCATTCTAAGAGATTGAAAGGATATGTTTCCTACAAATTTTGACTTCATTTGCTAGCTTGTAGACCTGGCCTTTGTTTTAAGTTTTGATGTTAAAATTTGCACTATAAGCAACTATAGTACATATACCAAATGATACTTCTGTATTTTAAGAAATATCATCTGGGTTGCTTCTAAAGAATGATCTGTTATATAACATCCAAAGAAAGAAGAGAATACTATCATTAATGTTCCACTTATAAATAACCCATATCTTCTGGCATTGTTTTTTTTCTTTATTGATTAAGTTAATACATACATGTCCTTATCCCCCTATTCTCCCCATCCCCTCACTCATGCCTTCGACCCCCTAGTGTCAGTGTTCATTGGTTAGGCTTACATGCATGCATACAAGTTCTTTGGTTTATCTTTTCCCCTTACCCCCACCCTTCCTTACTTTCCTTCTGAGGTTTAACAGTTTGATCAATGCTTCTCTATATCTGGATCTGTTTTTGTTCATCAGTTTATATTGTTCATTATATTCCACAAATTAGTGAGATCATGTGATATTTATCTTTCGCTGACTGGCTTATTTCGCTTAGTATAATGCTCTCCATTTCCAGGGCAAACTTGATTTCTTCAACAATGGTACAAAATATACTGGGTTTCTGATTTGGTCATGTCAAATATCAAAGACCAAACTTACGGGCATACGGCAGTTTTCATGCTCAATAGGATTCTTTTTAATGAGAAGATGAACTTCTGTTATCCAATGGCAAAAACTTAAAAGAAGAAAAGAGCCATCAAGGAGAACTTTTTATGATATTTAGCCTATAACAAGGAATAAAATATTTAAGCGATCCTGGTGACACATCAAAAAATGCTTAATATGAAAAAATCTAGAGCTATGTTCAGAGTACACTGTACATAGACTATGAAAGCCAAAAATTCGTTCAAGAAGTCATTTCAGTGTATCCATTAATACTTTTCAGATTCTCAAAATTTGTCATTATTTCATGTTGCCATTGTTTTATAACCCTTTTATTTTTGTGTTGAATTTTCTCAATTTACAAAGAATCAATCCTAAAGGTTATGTTGAAACTCAATAGTATCTGAGTTATTGCATTATTGCATTGAGTGAAATGCCACCATATGTTTTCTGGATGCTCTAATGTCACAACTGACTAATAAAATAAGGAGGGAAAGGAGGAGTAGGGGAGTGGAAGTAAGGATAGAAGGGAGGAAGGGAAAGGGAGTAGAGGATAAAGAGAAGGAGGAAGGGTTGTAAAAATTCTAGATATATATGTACAGTAGCCTTTCCTTATCCATGATTTTGCTTTTTGTAGTTTTAATTATCCATTGTCAACCATGGTACAAAAATATTAAGTGGAAAATTAAAAAAATAAAGCTTAAATGTTGTGCTATTCTAAGTAATGAAATGAAATCTTGAGTTGTGCTGTTTCATCCCACCTGGAACATGAATCATTCTTTGTTCAGTGTGTCTATGCTGCACACACTCACCACCTATTAGTCATTTAGTAGCCATCTTAGGTTACCAGATCATCTGTTGGGGTATTGTAGTGCTTGTGCTTAAGTAACCCTTATTTTACTTAATAATCTCCTCAAACAAAGCACAAGAGTAGAAATCACCAAGGAGAGAAATCAAGATGGTGGCATAGGTAAACACTTAAATTGCTGCCTCTCACAACAATTTCAAAACTACAACTAAAAGACAAAATGAGCCAAGACCAGTTTGGCTCAATGGATAGAGCGTCGTCTTGGGGACTGAAAGATCCCGGGTTCGATTCCAGTCAAGGGCATGTACCTTGGTTGTGGGCATATCCCCAGTAGGGGATGTGCAAGAGGCAGCTGATCGATGTCTATCTCTCATCAATATTTCTAACTCTCTATCTCTCTCCCTTCCTCTCTGTACAAAATCAATAAAATATATTTAAAAAAATAAAAAATAAAAGACAAAATGAACATCATTCATAACCAAGGAAAGCTGGCAGAGTAGAAATTCTACAACTAGAAGGAAAGAGGAAAGCACATGGAGAATCAGAAGAGCTGCAAAAGGCTGAGGTACAGAGACACGTATGTGGATGCCTGAGTACCTGGCTGGCTTTCTCTAGCAGGAAGGAGACAAAAGATCCTGCTGCATTGAACCCGTTCCAGGCGAGAACCTGGGGATCCAGGCTTATATGGGGGGGAATCTGGACTGTCAGGTGGAAACTCAGGGGAGCTGTAAAAGCAGAGGTCTGGAGATGCATGTGCATGAGTTCACGAAGAGAGGACTGCCAGCACAGAAGTTCTCCCAGCATAGACACAGCTGATCCTCACAGCCAATTGGCCTGGAGGTCAATTCTTCCCAGTGATACCAACAACAATCACGACTTAACTACAAAAAGGCTGTATACACAGTCCACAAAGGGTTGCACCAAGAGTGTCCACCACAGGTAACTAGAAAGGCCGACCCATTGGTCCATATAGGACACCAAGCACAAAAACTACCCTACCAACTCAGGGGAACAGCAAAAATGTGGAGACAAAGAAACAGATCACAAACAAAAGAAATGGAGGAAAACAAACAATTGAATATAGAGTTCAATACCTCATTACAAAGTTTTTCAAGATTTCCTAGAAAAGGCAGATAAATTTAGGCAGACCCTCGAGAATATGATAAAGGGCCATCTATAAATTAAATATACACTGACTGAAATTAAAAAAAATATATTATACAGAGACCCAATAGCAGACTAGAGGAATGCAAGAATCAAGTCAAATTTTGAAATACAAAGAAGCAAAAACACTAGACCAGAAAAGCAAAAAGAATCCAAAAATTTGAAGATAGTGTAAGAATCCTCTGGGACAACTTCAAGTGTGCTAACATCAGAATAATGGGGGTGCCAGAAGAAGAGAGAGAGCAAGATACTGAAAACCTAGTTTAAGAAATAATGATAGAATATTTCTCCAGCCTGGTGAAATAAATAGACTTACAAGTCCAGGAAGCTCACAGAATCCAAACAAGAGGAATCCAAAGAGGACCACACCAAGACACATCATAATTAAAATGCCAAGAGCAAAAGACAGAGAGAATATTAAAAGCAGCAAGAGAAAAACAGTTAATTGCCCTCAAGGGAGCATCCATACGATTGTCAGCTGATTTCTCAACAGAAACTATGTAGGCCAGACAGGAGTAGCAAGACTTATTCAAAGTGATGAATAGCAAGAACCTACAACCAAGATTACTCTACCCAGCAAAGTTATCATTTAGAATTGAAGGTCAGATAAAGAGCTTCTCAGACAATAAAAAGCTAAAGGAGTTCATCACCACCAAACCAGTATTATATGAAATGCTAAAGGGTATTCTTTAAGAAGAGGAAGAAGAAGAAAAAGGTAAAGATAATAATTATGAACAACAAATACATATCTATCAACAAGTGAATCTAAAAATCAAGTGAATTAAAAATCTGATGAACAGAATAAACTGGTAAATGTAATAGAATCAGGGGCATAGAACAGAAATGGACTGAAAATTTTCAGATGGAAAGGGGTGTGGGGATGTGGGAATAGACTGGAGAAAAATTGTACATCTATGGATGGGGACAGTGGGGGAGGTAAGTCTGAGGGTGAGGGGGGAACCAGGTGAAGGGGCGCTATTGGGGGTGGGGGGAGAGAACAATTGTAATAATATGAACAATAAAGATTCATTAAATTAAAAAGAAGCACAAGAGTAGTAATGCTTGAAATTCAGATATTCCAAAGAAAATCCATAAAGTGCTTTATTTAACTGAAAAGGATAAAGTTGTCACTTAATAAGGAAAGAAAACAAATATATGCTGAAGTTGCTAAGATCTATGGGAAGAATGAATCTTCTATTCTTAACTGTGAAGAAAAAATCTATGCTAGTTTTCTGCAAAAATTATAGCTACAGTGTGTGATAGGTTCTTAGTTAAAATTGAAAAGACATTAAATTTGTGGGTAGATGACATGAACAGAAAAACTGGATTCCATAATTCCTCAATTAATGTCTTCCATAGTTTCTTTGAACTATGTCCAAATAATATATGATGAAATCAATTTTACCATAGCCTAATTGATATAAACAAAAGTTAAATTACTACAGCATCTCATAAACATTACTTGAAAGTAATGTCGAATGAAGCAATGTTATTCTAGGACCTGCTCGCGAGCTCTCTCTCTCTTTCTGTGTGTGTGTGTGTGTGTGTGTGTGTGTGTGTGCACGCACGTGCACATGCATGCACAAGATTTGGTATTATCTCATGTTTCAGACTTGAATATATCCCCCACTTTGGGGGGACTACTGTATGGAATTATTGCAATCCAGGAGTAGGTAATCTTAACATTTCTCCATATATATGAGAATCACTAGAGGCCTTCATCAAATTTCTATAACATAATGTGATAATATTTGGGGATGTGAGGGTGTAAATTATAAGAAAACTATCATTTTCATAATATCTATTTAATAATGAGTTGGAGAATTCCCTTCTGGTCAAACACATGAAGTTATTATTATTTTTTAAGTATTGCCTTTAAATAAGACAGTTTTTATGAAACAAAGGTGACAGCTTTATCTTCACTTTTCAGATAAAAGTGCTCATGGATACATAGCAGCTCATTCTTCGGTAAGTGAAAAATTTAAAACGGTTTTGTGTAATCAGTGTTTCTGGTAGTCAAATAGAACACAATTGAACACATGTAGTTTTTAAGATATAGAATCTTTTTAAATGGTTTTTAGAAGTATAATTTAGACACATACTGTATGATTCTACTTACATGAATTACCTAAAGTATTCAAAATCATACAGATAGAAGGTTTCTAGGAGAAGTAGAAATTGGGAGTTATTATTAAAGGGTACAGAATTTTAATGTTACAAGATAAAAAGAGTTCTAGAGATGTATGGTGGCGATGGTTGCACAACAATGTGAATAAATTTGACACTACTGAAATATATATTTAAATGGTTAAGATGTTAAATTTTGTTATATATGTTTTACTGCAATTAAAAATATAATTCAAAAAAAGAATTAAGGCCTTGGACAAAGATATTTAGTCTTATTCCTCCTTTTAAAAGCTGAAAACTTTGGGGAAATGGCTTAGCTTCTCTGAGCCTCTTTTTTCAGCTTTAACTGGGTATAACCAACCTCCTAAAACTTTTGTTAATATTTAATGTGATGATACATATAACATTCTTAGTATATTACCTAGCACGCACTATGTGTTTATTAATTGTAAGCTACTATTGCTATTATTTTTTAGATGGTAACAAGAGGAAAAAGTTGTTCTCTTTATACATAAGGTTTGTGTGAGGCAATGGTACTTGTGCCTTATTCAAATTCTCCAAAACGCAACAGAATATAGCCCTAGTATTCTCACTGGTCATTGCCACAACATTGCTAGCAGAGGAGGGCAGTTGGAGGTGAATAGACCAGCAGGAGAGGGCAGTTGTGGATGATTGAACTGGCAGGAGAGGGCAGTTGGGGTTGATTGGGCTGGCAGGGGAGGGCAGATGGGGGGCAGGCCAGCAGGGGAGGGCAGTTAAAGGTGATCAGGCCAGCAGGGGAGGACAGTTGGGGGAACCAGACCTGCAGGAGAGGGCAGTTGGGGGGGGGCAACTGGGCCAGTAGGGGAGCAGTTTGCCATCATTCAGGCTGACAGGGGAGTGGTTAGGGGGTGATCAGGCAGGCAGGCAAGTGAGTGGTTGGGAGCCAGAAGTCCCAGATTGTGAGAGGGATGTCCAATTGCCAGTTTAGGCCTGATACCTTGAGGGGTACCAGATTGGAGAAGGTACAGGCTGGGCTGAGGTTCACCCCCCAGTGCACGGATTTCGTGCACTAGGTCTCTAGGCTATATATAAAAAAGCCTAAGTGACCAAATGACCAAACAACCAGAACAACCAGTTGACCAGTCGCTATGATGTGCACTGACCATCAGGGAGCAGACTCTCAATGCAGGAGCTGCCCCCTGGTGGTCAGTACACTCCCACAGCCAACCTTCCATGGACAGCTAACCTCCCATGGCCCCAATGGGGACTGGGTGCAATGGCCCCAATCAGTCTTGATTACCAGCCTGAACCCCACCCATGCATGAATTCGTGCACAGGGCCTCTAGTAGGAAATTGAAAGTTAACTTGGAGCCAAATCATAGACACCCTTAAATGGTATTCTTTGAGATATGGCTTTTTTCAGTGTATAGTGGAAAGGTTGAAGTTTTTTAGTACAAGAATGTTAAATGATTAAAGCTTATGCCTTGATAAGAGTAGTCTGACATCAAATGTTCAGAATGAATTAAGGACAGAAGGTGAGACTGGATGAAAGGAGACTAGTTGGGGGAGTGTTGCAAGTCCCCAGGGCAGAGGTAATGAGGTCCTAAGTGAGATAGTGGCAGTAGGAATAGAGATTAAATTAAAATTTCCAAGATGGTTAGATTAATGATTAGATGATGGAGATGAAGTTGAGGTCAAAAGTGATTGCAGGCTTAAAAATGTTATGTGGTTGTACAGAAATAGGGTGTCATCTTACAAGAGTTTCAAATTTCTGAGAGAAAATGCTGAGTTTCCTCTTGGACAGTTTGAGTTTGAAAGCTGCCTGGATTTCAGATGGACATATTTGATTAAACTGCTTGACTAAGGCTGTATTTTTATTGACTAAATTAGACCCTTAAGTTCAGGTTGGATCATTTCTGTGGGACTCAGTTACTTAGGAATGGATAATTGCACCTTGAGTTATTATTCTAAGTGGAGACTGCACTTTGCACTTCTTATTTTATTATTATTATTATGATGATGATTATTATTTTGCATTAGAAACACTCCCATTACACATAGCTATCCTATAGTATCTGATTTAATGGGATTGACAACCCTTAATAGACATAGCCTGAAGTGATCAGAAGTTTTGGCATCCTCTAGTAGCCTTGATGTAAATTAAAATAGAAGCACTGTTGTAGTCATTAAATGTTTTTTAATACTGGATATATAATTTATATTGAATTCATTTATCCCTCTCATAATCATATAACATCTTTTTTACTGCTCAGTCTGGTAGCTTCTTTCATATTATTATATTAAATGCTAAAAACTGTTCATGGGCCTGCTCTTCAATTTGAGGCTGCTTTTTAAATTTTATATTTGTATTATACTATTAATGGTGATTAGTGAAGTAATCCTATATAATAAAAAGAGTAATATGTAAATGACCACCTCTAAAACACACAAGATGGTTTCCCCCATGTGAATACAAAATAGCCGCCACAAAAAGGCCAGCAGGGAAGGGCAGTTGGGAGGGAGCAGAACTGCAGGGAAGAGCAGTCGGGGGGGGGGGGGGGAAACAAGGCCTGCAGGTGAGGGCAGTTAGGGGCAAATAGGCTGGCAGGGGAGCAGTGAATCATCAATGAAGCTGCCAGGGGAGTGGTTAGGGGTTGATCAGGCAGAAGCAGTTAAGGGCAATCAGGAAGGCAGACAGGCAAGCAAGTGGGAGCCAGCAGCCCTGGATTGTGAAATTGGGCCTAAACGGGCAGTAGGACATCCCTTGATGGGTCCCAGATTGGAAAGGGTGCAGGCTGGACTGAGGGACACACCCCCTGGGCATTTCGTGCACCAGGCCTGTAGTGTAGTTATACTTAATATAAATTTAATTAGAAATCAATTAATTTATAGTTTCCTTGTGGTATTTTTGAGTTAATGATTTATTTCTCACTTAAAACATTTTTCCAAGCCCACATATGGCTTATTATCCTTGTACATGTTCATATTGCCTAATAGATAAAATAGAATTGTTTGCCATATAAAGTATGTTCAGTTTATTTGCAGGTTCTTCCCTTCTACCAAGGATCAGTGATTAGTTGCATTCTTAATCCCACCTGGCATAAGATAAAACAGAAATTTCTGAAACAAAAGAATATAAAAGCAAATACCAATACCCTAAAGCAATTTCTCCTTGAGCCCACTTAAGTGCTTTGAAGATTTATCTTTTCACAAGAAGAAGCTGATTTTTAAAATCTGGCAACTTAATATCATTATCCATTTGTTGTTTTTCATACAGCCACAATCCTATATAATAAAAGCCTAATATGCTAATTGTCTGATCGTCCATTCAACCAATCAAATCATAACATGCTAATGATATGCTAAGGCCATGCAACTGTTCGCTATGACATGCACTGACCACCAGGGGGATTGACACTCCAACTGGTAGATTAGCTTCCTGCTGGAGTCTGGCTGATCAGGACTGAGCATGATGGGCCAGACATGCCCTGGACCCCTACCACAGTCTCTCCCTGACCAAACTACTAAGTCCTTCCCCAGCCCAATCATGCACTGGCGAGGTCCCTTGGCCTGCCCTGTACCTTCCTGCAATCTGGAACCCGTTGGGGGATGTCAAGAAGCCAGATTAGGCCCAATCCCACTGGCCAGGCCTAGGGACCCCACTGATACACAAATTCATGTACCAGGCCTCTAGTTAATAAATAATTTCCTGATTTGCTAGACAAAATAAATAAATAAATAAATAAATAAATAAATAAATAAATAAATAAATAAATATAGGTGTATAAATAAGAAAACCAATATCAAGTAAGCATATATACCTCAAACTATAAACCACTCAGTATGTATGTCAGGCAATCAAATATTCTTTCAAGTACTTGTTTATAAACTTCAAGGTGTCTGCCTTCTCTCAAGAGATAAACCTTTCTGGCTCCAATCAAATATATGATTATACTTATTATTCCATCACAGGTTTCTACATGGTTGCAGAAAATCCACAGTGAACTTGTAATCATAGACTAAGTTTTTTTTGTTTTGTTTTGTTTTTGTTTTAATGTAAATCTACTAGTAGCCTTTATCTGAACTTGGAGATTTGTCTTCAAGAAATGAAAATTATTTTTAAGATTAGCCTAAGCTAGTATAATTCAAGGAATAAACAAAGAACAAATATATAAATATATATGTGCATATATATACACACACATACACAAACAAAACAAAGGATAAAAAACATTTATAATAGTGCTTTCCAACAGAAATTTAATAAAAGCCATATATGTAACTTCAAATTTCCCAGTAAACATATTTAAAAACATAAGACAAAATAGGTGAAATTATTTTTTATTATTTTTAATCCTCACCCAAGGATATGTTTTATTGATTTTTAGAGAGAGAAAAAGGGAGAGAGAGGGAAGAACATTGATTGGTTGCCTCTCAGGGATCGAACTCACAACCTAGGTATATACCATGACCAGGAATTGAACTCACAGCCTTTTGGTGTAAGGGTCAATGCTCCAACCAACTGAGCCACCCAGCCAAGGTAGGTGAAATTATTTTTAATAAAATATTTTACTTAACCCAATATATTTAAAATATAGTCATGTCAATGTATATACTCTATAAAAAGTATAAGAAAATATCAATTTTTTATATTGCATATTTAACATCTGGTATGAGTTACAACTTTTCTCAATTTAGACTAATCAGTTATAAGTGTTCAATAACCATGTATCATTAGTGGCTGCCATATTGGACACACATATCTATATCATAGTTCACTGGTTTTTACATTTGTACTTGTATTAAGATCATCTGGAAAGCTTATTATAACAAAGATTGCAAGGCCTTACTTCCAGAGTTTTTTATGGATCTGGACTGAACCTGAGAATTTGAATTTCTAATAAGTTCCTTGATAATGCTAATGATGCTGATCTGGAAACCAGTTTTAGAACCATGACCATAGTTGTTTCAAAATCCAGCTTTAGTACCATTTTACCCATGTATTGACGTAAATGATCAAGAACTGACCCTAGATGTTGTTTTTGATGCTGGTGTTATTGTATTTTTAGCATTACAAGTCACCATTTACCTGTTGGTTAAAATTGAATAATTATTTATGAAGATGGATATTCCTTACATCTTTATTTCTGTTACTTTTTGAGTGTTTCATTTTGGGAGGAATAAAGGGGAAGAAACATTCATGGGCTTGTTTATACTTAGTATTTGCAGAGCTGTCTTATCCATACACATGCTCTAATCTATAAGCACTAAACAACCTTTTTCTGGTTAACAGCCTGTCAATAAATTGACAATCTTCCCAGAACAAATTCAAAGCTTTAATAGTAATTCATTTGATTTTTAAAATATATTCATTGATTTTACAAAAAATGGAACTTTAAAATAATAAATGAATAGCTCACTTTTTTGGCTCAGCAGAAAATAAGAATATATATATTTATAATTTAGTTTGTTTAAATCATGATCTGAATGTATGTCTAGATGTGGGCAAGTCCTGGACACCAAATTTTAGATGGTTCTGCTCCTTTGTAAAATGTGTTGTTCCCTCTTAACTCTACATGGTTAAATATTTCATTTCCCTTGTATCATTTCTGAAGGGAAGCAATGAGGAGTTAATACCTGGTCTTTTAACTTTGTTTTTGTCATAAGAGTACAAAAACAGCATCAGAGCCTCCTTTGGCTCCTCCTGTCTCTGAAGAAGAAGATGAAGAAGAGGAAGAAGAAGATGACAATGAACCCCCACCAGTTATAGCACCAAGACCTGAGCATACAAAATCAGTAAGTAAGAAGTGACTATTTCCAAATGATTCAAAAGATGTCATTTGGAACAGTCATATAAGAGTTTAGTTAATCAACTAGTACCTATTGATCATTTTACTATATTCCAAAACTTGGGATACAAGATTAGCACTTGACAATCCTATATAATAAAAGCCTAATATGCTAAGTGTCCAGTTGTCTGTTCAACCAATCAAAGTGTAATATGCTAATGATATGCTAAGGCCGCTCGACTGCTCACTATGATGTGCACTGACCACCAGGGGGCCGATGCTCCGACTAGTAGGTTAGCTTGCTGCTGGGGTCTGACTGATTAGGACTAGGCAAGACGGGTTGGACACACCCTGAAGCCCTCTTGTGGTCCCTCGCCAGCTGGCCAACCTCCTGCATCACTCCCCAGTCCTGATAGTGCACTGGTAGGGTCTCTCAGCCGGGCTTGCGCCCTCTCATAATCCAGGACCCCTCGGGGGATATTTTGACTCGATCCCTCAGGCAAGACTGAGGGACCCCACTGGTGCACGAATTCATGCACTAGGCCTCTAGTTAGGGAATAATACCAAACAACCCTATATAATAAAACCCTAATATGCAAATAGGCCGAATGGTGGAATGACCCACTGCTATGACCCACACTGACCACCAGGGGGTAGATACTCAATGCAGGAATTACTCCCTTATGGTCAGTGCACTCCCACAAGGGGAGTGCCGCTCAGCCAGAAGCCAGGCTCATGGCCTGCCAGCACAGTGGTGGCAGCAGTAGCCTTTCACACCTCTGCTGCAGGCAAGCAGTAAGGAACAAGGGGAGAGCCCTGTTCTGTGAGAGGGAATCTGACTGCCTGTTTAGGCCAGATCCCCCAAGGGGTTTTGGACTGCGAGAGGGTGCAGGCTGGGTGAGTGACCCCCTCCCCCGCCCTCAATATACACACACAGTGCACAAATGTAATGCACCAGTTCTCTAGTATACAAATAAATGCTAAGTTTTAAAACTGCTCCAGAGGTTAAGATAGAGAAGAAAATTCATGTGAATCAAATAGGAATACTTGCATGAGCAGAAGCTCTAGTACCCGAATTAGGACAGCTTATATTGGGGATAACAAAGGATTAGCTCCTCAGAGCTTTCAAGAGCAGTATATTTGAAGCAACATAAAGTGTGTTTTTTTTAATATATAAATCATTTGTTTTATAAAACTCATTGAAGGTTAGGGTGCAGGGTAGGAGGAGGGGTGAGTAGACAGAACACAGAGAATTTTTAGGACAGTAAAAATACTTTGCATAATACCATAAAGATAAATTTTATTATGCATTTATCCAAACCCAAAGAGTGTACTACACCCAGAGTGAACTGTATATAAATTATGGACTTTGGGTGATTATGATGTAATTGTAGGTTCATCAATTGTAACAAATGCAGCAATAAGGTAAGGAAATGTTGATAATGGGTGAAGTTATTAATGTGTGGGGGCAGGGGGCACATGGGAATTCTCTGTACCTTCCCCTAAATTTTGCTGTGAACCTAAAACTCCTTGAAAATTTATCTTTATTAAAAAACAAAAAAACAAAAAAAACACAACAACAACAACAACAAAACACCTCACTGATATGACAGTGTCTTGACTTCATACTCTTTCCTTGGCTGCTGTTTTAATTGTAGAACATTTATTTTTCTTACCTTTAAGATCTACACTCGTTCTGTGGTTGAATCCATTGCTTCACCAGCAGCACCAAGTAAAGAGGTCACACCGTCTTCTACTGAGAATGCCAATTCCAGTACTTTGTATAGAAACACAGATCGACAAAGGAAAAAATCCAAGATGACAGATGAGGAGATCCTAGAAAAGCTGAGTGAGTCTTTTATCATAATTACTTTTTTCATGGAATGGTTTATCTTTAAATAGAATTAGAATTAATCTTTATCTGCTTGTATGAACTCCAGACTCCCTGAAGTCACAAATGTAAAGTTTGTGACTCACTGTGTATTTCAGATCACTCTCTTTCTCATACTCCTAATCTGACAGAAACTAAATATGTTCACTTGAAACATTTATTAAGCTGAAAACTTAACAAAAATGAATTAAGTAGTAAGTTTTATTTTAAGATTACACTCCCAAAAGGAAGAAAACAGTCTGATGACATATTCTATGATCATACCCCAAGGGCTCCCAATTGATCAATCATGATAAGTAAGTCTATTAAAACCCCACAGAATCCATCAAAATTGGAAGCCACAATAATATATTATTTTCCCTTAATTCAGGAGCACTTCTATATAGAGAGAGGCCATGGTCAGCAAATGCTGATAGCTCAGCCTCCTTTTCACAGTGTCATTAGTGTGTACATGCTTGTGTATACACAGTCACTACACTTTTGCAAAAACACTCTTCCAGTTAGCTTGCTGGGTAAAAGAGCTTTAAAAAACATTCTCTGCTGAAAGAGTCAAAAGCCTATGAAATATATTCATTAAAATTATAAGAGTATTTAACAAACTACTAGTTTTCTGCAATTAATGCCCTCATCTAGTAACTACTTATCCTTCAAAACTCAACTCAAGTGTTTCCTCCTTAGGAAAGTCTTCTTTGTCTCTCCCAGTCAATAAGTACCCTTCTTCTTTGATGCCTTTATGACAAAAAATATCACATTATACTAATTTGTCACCTTCCTTCACTTAGACTATGAGCTCTTCAAACACAAGGATTGTGTCTTCTTTTCTTGTATGTCCAACTCTAATAAAGTATCTGATACATATACACTGAGTGGCCAAATTATTATGATATCTGAATGCATAATAATCTGGCCACTCAGTGTATATCCTATTTAAAAAAGGCTAATATGCAAATTGTCCCTTAACGAGGAGTTCGACCAGCAGGGAGGCCAGCCAACCACCCAGGTCCCCACCCCTGGCCAGGCTACCAGACCCCACCCATGCATGAATTCATGTATAAAATAATATATATATATATATATATATATATATATACACACACACACTGAGTTGCCAGATTATTATGCATTCAGAGATCATAATAATTTGGCCACTAAGTGTAAAAGCACTTAACAAATTCTTCTTGAGTAAATGGATGAAAAAATAAGCAAACAAATATATTTTTACTGGGCTCCACTTTGTCTGTTGTATAGCAGAATGATCTAAGAAAACAATAGAAAAACAATTTCCTGACATCAAGAAACTTGAAATTTTATTTTGAAGATAAGATTTAATTGTGTGATATAATTAACAAATAGGAGGCCATTTTATTTCAAGAAAATGTCTATCTAAAAGGTTGCTGAAGAGAAAAAGAGCAGTTTAGGGAAGCTATAGGTCACAAGAAGTCTCTACAGACATGGTCATTGGGCTATTTGGCAATGTCTAGAGACATGTTTATTGTCACCACAAAGGGAGTGTCACCTGCAGGCATCTAGTAGGATAGACTGGGGATGGTCCTATGTACTTTACAGTATAAATGACAATACTCTCCTTTCCCCTCAACAATGCTGAGGTTGAGACATTCTGAGCTAGGAGTATTTTAGAAAGACAAAGGTTGAGGTTGTAGATGTCTGTGAACAATCAGAACTGGAATTGTTGAAATTTAGCCAACTGACTTTACTATACACGATTAATTATGCCTCTAGTGCTAATACTATTTGCTGTAACAACAGTAATTATTCCCATTTATTATTTTATGTGGTGGCCACTTGCCATACATTATCAGGTTTAATTTTCACAGTAATCCATGTGGTAGATTTTAATAGTCTCATTTTATAGATCAGTGAACTATAATGCCTCAAAAAAGTTTCACTAATGATTGGCAGAGCCCAAGTTTGGATTCAAATATGCTTGCATTTGAAGATTAAACTATTTACACTACCCATTTTGCATCTGAATGTCACAACTGTCTATATATGTAAAAATAAAGGGAAAATGAAAGAATTGCCTTAATAATTTTAGTTCAGTTACTCAGACAATTGCCTCATTTTTTTCCTTTATCTTGTAGACATGACCTATGAGATTTATTAGATGTTAAAAATCTAATAGCCTTGTTTTACTAAAAATGATTGTTATTTGGTATCTGTTTTAGATTTATTATAATTAAATTTATAGATTCCTTAATTTCAGTGACAGAGAAACAAGAATTATTTTCTTGGGCCAAAATCTGGCTTTTGCTTGCAAACAGTAATAGTATTGGATCTGTTTACTTTATAATTTGTTGTTTATTCTGTTCTGAATTGAGCAACATGATGAAGAGGCAAAAGGTACCTTTGATTTTTTTAAAAATTAAAATTGTTTTATTCTCTGTTGGAAAATGCTTGGGCCTAGAGAGAATCATTTTCCCTCTAGCCAGTGGGCCACCTATAACAGCCAACCCTACCTTGTATTATAAGACCTTGGCAGGGATAACATCTAAGGAAATGAGAGATTACTTCTCATGAAATCAGATTCAGGATGAGCTATACTTCATAGTCTGCAAAGTCAGTCTTTCCTATTCCTGCTCCACCAGCACTCTCTAATGCCCTTTCTCTGCCACTTTGTCACTCTATGTGTGACCTTTGACGAGTTATTTAACTCTTCTAAGCCTCAGTCCCTTGTCTGTCAAATTGGGATACAAATCATAACTACACATTAGTATTATCACTATAGAATGGATTTTATGTAGCTCTATCAATGGCTGAAAAGACAGGTATTGCAGCCAGAAAGGCCCCAATTTAAATTACAAGACGATTGCCAATAGGTTTCTCACTCTGGGCAAGTTATTTCACTTTTCTGGAACTCTTTTTCCTCATATAAAAATAGCTATAATAATAGTACCAAATTCATAGCATTTTAATAATTAAATGAGAATAATGTATGTAAAAATCTTGTACAGTAAAGCAACAAGCAGATTGTCAATTTACAGCGGGGAGGGGAGAAGGGTCTGGGGGAGATAATAAGTCAACCCAAGGACTTGTATATATGCATATAAGTACAATCAATGGACATAAAATTCTGGGGAGGGAGGGGATATGTGGGAGGGAAGGAGGGGGGCAAAAAAATCAATAAAATATGTAAAAATAAATAAAATAAAATAAAATAAAATAAAAATCTTGTACAAATTAGTTGGTCAATAAGTGATAGTAATGTTCCTGCTCCCTAATCCTGACTACTGAGCGGTATGGAACTCTTCAGCTGAGGAGAGCAGAAGGAAGCACGTTGGTAGGAAGATACTGCACTTTGCTGTAAATTGCAATCAATTAGTATCGTTTCTCTGACTCAAGTTAGAAGTGAGAGTTCAGATAAATGAGACAGTCATTGCTGCTTTATACACCTCAGAAGGGGAGAATGGATTTATTAGGAGTGAAAAGAAGAGCTTGCTAGGAGTCAAAGAAAATAATAAAAAGTCTAGCACTAGAGCTCCTTCTACCAAACACAAAGACCACTCTGATGAGAAGTCCAAGGATTGCTCTAAAGATAAAGGGGCCACCAAGGAGTCAAGCAAGAAGTATTGTGGCAGGGATGAATTCAGAAGAGCAGCACTTCCATTGGTAGCAGCAGCACCAGGTCTCGGTCCAGCTCTACCTCCAGCTTTGGCTCCAATACTACCACTGGCTCAAGCAGCGGCTCTACCTCTTCATCAGCATCAAGCCAATCAGAAAGTTCCAGCACATCCAGAAACTCCAGTTCTAGCATCTCTTCCGGCTCTCCAAGTCCTTCTCGGTGTAGACATAACAACAGGCAGCGTACCAACTCCAAATCCAAATCACCCAAAAGAAATGAAAAGTAAAGTAAAGGTGGAGACCTGTCCCTAAACCCACCAAAGTACACCTTGGTATGCTCACCGGGAATGTGACCAAGGTTTACATCATGGAGATATTCTACAACTTTGAGAAAATTAAAATGATAGACATGCCTGTAGAAAGGATGCAATCCCATCTATGTAAAGGCTGTGCATAAGTGGAATTTGAAAATCCAGATGAAGCTGAAAGGGTGCTGAAACACATGGATGGAGGAAAAATTGATGGCCAGGAAATCACCACCACTGCTGTGTGGTACCCTCAGCCTAGGCCACCTCTCCCCCCAAGCGATTCAGCCCTCTCAGGAGAATGCTACCATCACCTCCCACGTGGTGTCAGACACCCTCACGGATGAGGAGAAGGTCATGCTCTTGGAGGCTCAGGCCCATGGTGCCTCAGTTATCCTGCTCCCTTGGCAGCTGCAGCCACAGAAGTCACTCCAGCTCCAATTCCTCCTGATAAGCCACTGAAGCTCTATCCCAAAACTTATATCCCATCCAACTCAATTCTGTCACTTTTCTAGCTGAAGGAAAGTCAGTAGGAAACAAATCCTCAGTCAGGGGCAGTCTTCCAAAGGAGCATTGAGACATTTCCTCTGAAGGCCAAGTTTGGCTGCAGAAGTGTTGTTCATTTGCGGTTGTGCCTATGAAGATGCTCTCCAGTTTCCTCAATAGAAAATTCCCACGTTTCCAGTCTCTGAGAGTCAGTTTAACAGAGCAGGAACAGAGCAGGTTTCCAAATGGCAGTGCTGCCCAAGCCTGGGAGCACATTTTCCCATTCCATAGATGAGCTAGGGGCAGTCTAGTAGTCTGGGGATCCTCCAAGAAAGGGCATGCTTTTGTGCAGCTGCTATTTCTATTAACCTGGTGATGCTCCCCTGCTTGAGTTCTTCTGACCTCTAGAGTTAAACATCCCATATTAGTTGTTGTAAATGGTTCTGATTTCACAAGTACTCGTGAATGTATATCCACATGGCACATCTCCTTTTTCTATGAAATTGGTGAGCAAACTGAGCTCTGCATGGTCATCACCGACATTCTTCCCCTTCATGATGGTCTTTGGGGTTACCATGACAATGTGAA